CCTCGGTCTTTCCGTGTACTACCACATCGTTCAGTAGACAAGACACTGCCGTGGGATCAGCTCCCTGAGCACTGAAGACATTAGCCGCTGGAATGTAGCCGGTGCGTTCGTCAATCCAAATGGCATCGTCTGGAATTCGTATAATCCGTTTGGCACGACGAATGCTGTCTTCTCTCTATCCTTCTCTTCTTCTTTCAGCTGCCAGTACCCAGATGCTAGGTCAAGAGTTGAGAAGTATTTCGCTCCGGACAAAGCGTCGAATATGTCTTCCATTAGTGGTAAAGGAAAACAGTCCTTCTTTGTGATTTCGTTTAACTTTCGATAATCGCCACAGCCTGATTGTCCCGTCTTTCTTTTTCACCAAAACAATAGGGGAAGCCCAGGGCGACTTTGATGGCTGGATCACGTTTGTCGCCAGCATCTCCTTCACCATACTCTCCAATTCCTGGACATAACAACTTGGAATGTGGCGGGGTTTCAGTCGTATGGCTCCGGCGTGGCCCGTCTCTATCCGACGATTTACTAGTTTTATCCTACCCAGTGGCTCGCCGTCCATCATAAATATACCTCGGTATTTTGTAATCAGCTAATTTACTTCATCTAGAGTCGACCGGCCTACGTAAGATTCTGCTCTTGTGGTAATATCCTGGAGTTCCTGATTCTTGATCTCCACACCAACGGCGGCACAGTGGTCAGTTCTCTCGCGGGTTTCCCTTGACGGTTTCGCCAACCTTCTTGCACGAACCGTGAAGTTCTCCGTGTCTATGGTACACCGAAGCCTTTTCAGGATATCGGCCCCCAAAATAAGGNCGGTAGTACAACGCAAGCCCCATGAAACTGCGTATTTCCGACTCGTTGCGAGGTTGCGGTCAGTTTCGCAGCTTATTGACCTTTTCGTCGTCAGTTTGAATGCCTTCGGCGGAGATCACGTGGCCAAGAAAGCGGACCTTTCTTTGGAAAAGTGTGCATTTGGCGGGTTTTAGCTTTAAACCGACCTTGTGGAGACAAACAAACGTGGCCAAGTTTTCCTCCTCGGTCTTTCCGTACTACCACATCGGATCTTTCACCGGTATTAGACCAGCGTCTCCATCCACCGCCGTCTCGGGGGTAAGGGCACCCGGCCACTGGTTGACGATACAATCTCGACGCCCATGGGTTTGTCCGTTGGGGTGGCTGCT